ACAAAAATATATATAAATATAATACATACTAATACACTTGTTTTAAGAGTAATTTTTCCTCATATACTAACTCCACTGCGTCGGTATCTTTCTCAAATCATGCATACTTTGCGTGTACTGCACTTATCAACCAATCAGCGCACGCGCAACCAACTTAAGCTAACCAAGATCTTGCTGCTGTAGTTTTTAAATGTCCGTCCGTTTAATGAATGGTATTTTGGTTCGTTTCCGTGCTACAATGCTAAAACAGGCAAAAGCCAATGTTCTGATGAAGAAAATTATATCCTCATGAAACGGGGGCAGTTTGGCAAGAAACTGCTAAAAAAAAAAGGCTTGCAGAAACATTGAGTATGAGAGTTTAGAATAATTTGTTATTGCAAATTATTTGTTATTATTAGAATAATTTGTTTTGTATAGACATTTTACACCATCTGGCAAATATTTAAAGAATTTTTTCTCTAAAATATAGATTCTCAATATAATGGTGTTGGTAGAATATGTGAAGCGCCGTTATTTAGTTTAATGTTTACAGAACTGCACGTGGTTATCTTTTCTGCGGTTAGTAGCGTCGATATAGTTTAAGCACGAGCTCTGTTAAAATATGTGAGGAATAAATCTACAACTAGAGAAAAAAGGTAGTTTTCCATTAACTTTAATAATAAAAGTCAAACACTTGCGCGCGCACAAACACACACACACACATATATATTATTTGTTTCATATATTCGCGCAAAGCTATACATGGACTATCTGAATTAGCCTTTCCTAAATTTGAACTGATGGGCTAAAGAGAAGGAAGCTAGTCATCTCTATCACAAACACTGAGTTACCTCTAATAGAACAGGGGCATTTGACCGTCACTCTTATAAGGCATCTACACATCTAAAGTGCGGAACGCCATTTTGCCGGAAAGGGATGCGAACCATGGACCCTCAGCTTCACAGTTTGGTTTGCTAACAACTTTGTAACGTTTGTCCCGTATAAATACGTACATATTAGGTTAAATACAGAATATCCGCTTTTGTAACAGAACGTGATTTTTTCTCGATAAGCTTCGTGAAATATCTCCAGCTGTGATATGCCTCTGGTCCTAAGATGAACTTTACATTAACCTACCGACCTACCCTAAGCGAAGTCTGACGTCACCTAGGCTTACCATGTTATTGGTCTGGGCGAGAACAAGGAAGCGTTCCAAAAGAAGGAAAAAAAAATTCTACAGCTGAATTTTACTGCAATAGTCATAGATGATAAAGATATTTCTAGAAGTTTAGAAACATGTAAATTATTCCCTTTCCAACAATCTAAGTGGAAGAGCGCAGAATGTCACACGTGACGAATAAAGGAGTTATTTCATAAAGATTATACGATCATAAAGTATTATGAAAATAAAATGAGTTAGAGACACGTTGCAATAAAAATTAGAAGTACAATCTTGTTCAATTCATTTCAGTTTCGAAATGGACGTGGATTACGAGAAGTAAAAAAAAAACCAAAAAAACAATGATTATCAATACACCAGGTAAGCTATTCAACAAAGACCATAATGTCACTGGAATAGCTTGCCGAGTAATCATACAGATATATATATATATATATGACTAACATTCGGATTCATACACTAATATTAGTATTTACGTATTTTTGGATTAATATACTAATATTAGTGTATGAATCCGAATGTTAGTCATATATTGGACATTACTAGTATTTTTACGTTTACATTTCAGTTGAAAATTGCTGAATGATAAAGAGATTAATTAGCAGTTAGCACTTTTTTTGTAATAAAATAAGGAAAAACAATGATATTATTGTTAATTTACGAAACCTTGAAATATTTGTTGCTTTCTAATGGATTACAGAAAAGCTGATTTGGACTAGAAAATAAGTAACTAATATATATTCTCTAAACATTTACAAAACCCACTGATAACTTTAAAGAAAGATTGAATTTTACTCTCCAACCGCTGACAGTAAGGTATAAAAATATTATACAGTGTATTTTTTCTTGAAATGTATCTTCCGATGAGACAGCGGTAAGTCTACGGACTTAGGGCTCTAAAATCTGGGGCTCGATTCCCAGTGGTGGACACAGCATATAGCTCAGTGTGGCTTTGCCTTAAAGGGTCTCTGATGAATTTCGCACAAAGCTACACGAGGGATATCTGTGCTGGTCATCCCTAATTTAGTAGTGAAAGACTTTTGGGCTATTTTTTTACCAACGAATAGCGGTATTGACCATCACATTATAACGTCCCCATGGCTGAAAGGGCGGGCATGTTTAGTGGGATGGGGATTGCGAGTCAAGCACCCTAACCACTAGCCGGTCACATAAACAAATCTTAAAATATGTGAAAATTCGAGATTGTCACCGATCTAGACGGTCCATTTAGTATAGGTCAGTTTTCAGATATCATGTTATGATTAAAAACAAACTCTTTACGCTACGTTCAAAAACATTTCATGATATCATAATTCATGACTAATGATCAACATTCGTACGTTTTGAGGTTGATTTATGACTCACGTCTTGCAAACAACAAAAACGTCCAAAAAAACGTAAAATGTGTATTGTAACTGAGACCCTTGTCACAACTCTGAACTATTACGTTCAGGCTTAAAACGATGCTAACTAAACACTATAGTACTCTACCATAACAGCAATCGTTGTTCTTGGAAGCGATATAAGAGCTAGTTTAATTTTGATCCTGAATCCAGAAAGATAGTTTTATAAATATCTGATTAAAATCACAATAAGTAAACTTCGTCTATGATTAATCTAGCTAGCTCAATCTTGATCCTGAATCCAGAAAGATAGTTTTATAAATATCTGATAAAAATCACAATAAGTAAACTTCGTCTATGATTAATCTAGCTAGCTCAATCTTGATCCTGGATCCAGAAAGATAGTTTTATAAGTATTTGATAAAAATCACAATAAGTAAACTTCGTCTAAGATTAAACTAGCTAGCTCAATCTTGATCCTGGATCCAGAAAGATAGTTTTATAAATATTTGATAAAAATCACAATAAGTAAACTTCGTCTAAGATTAAACTAGCTAGCTCAATCTTGATCCTGGATCCAGAAAGATTAAACTAGCTTTTATTTCGTCTCCAAACGATTTTATCCTAATTATTTATATAATTAGGATAATATATAATATTTGTTACTTGTAGAATAACACGTTTTGCGTACACGAGTATCTATATCTACCTGTTATAAAGTTAATTATTGGATATTAACAGCTTATATAATATTAATTCTAATTTCAAGAATTGCAGTTCACTTGACTCACAGTTAAGGTAAATTATAATAACAACTTAAATATTCACAGTATAAGTCAGAGTTAAGAGTAATGTAAAGTCTTAGCAGTTACAATGTATTTATGTAATCATCTATTGTTTATTAATTTAATAGAGGATGCTAAAGAATAGCGGTAATGTAATCATCTATTGTTTATTAATTTAATATAGGATGCTAAAAAATGCGTTCGGTTAAGTAGATACTACAGAAATAAAATTTAAATATACTCCCCCTTCCCCATGGCTCAGCGACAAGTCTGAAGGTTTATAACGCTAAATATGAGGTTTCGATACCCGTGGTGGACTCAACACAGATAGCCCATTGTCTAACTTTGTACTTAACAATAAACCAGAACCATCTTAATAAAACACTTGTGAGGGACTTACTTATTTTTTTTTCTTTTTCAAAGATACATAAGATTGACATCTTGGGTCCAAAATTGAACTGGCTTTTCTATTAGACTGTATCACCCATCAAATATTGCAATGGGGGTTGAAGAGTGTGATTATGTGTCTGTTACGCAATGCCCGTTGTTTTTGTTATTATTAAACACAATTCTACATGCATAGTGGATAATCTGTGCCGTGACTACCGTGAGGATAGAGTCCCGAATTTTAGCCCTCACACTTATTGCTGAGACACGTGGAGGCAGACTTCATGATCATTATGTATCATTAATAGCTGATCAAGAAACTTGAATACAAAGAGTCAAAAAGTTTTCTTGAATGGTTGTATGGATGAAAAAAAGCAATTTGTGAAAACTGAGGACTCGTGTAATTTCCTGTGTAAAGGGAAATAATAATTTCAAATTACTTAACAATTCAAGCACCACAAATCCTTCTAACAATAATTATCTATCATTCAATTAGCATGTTCCTTCTTTTTTCTTTAGTCAAGATGTCAGGGAACTGCATTACAATGATTTCACGTCCAGCTGTTTCCTGCCATATATAAAACAGGACAGTAAGAAAATTGTATTCAAAATTGACATGCCTTTTTTAACCTTCGCATGTTGATTTTCGCTAGGGATAACTAGCACGGGACTTAAAATATAAAGAGACGTTACTGGCATTAGTGGGTGCACGATTCTGTTGTTTTTTCTATTAGACACGTATATTTTAAAATGATTATGCCTAACATTAGATGGCGCTACAATTTAAAGTTGGAGTTTTCAGTTGTACTTGTTTCTAAATTTCTATTCATAATATGAATATTTGGATGTTTACTAATTGAATGTTAGGCTATTTCTTTAATAGTAATGTTTCTATTTGTGAATACAGAACAGTTTGATGAAGTAGAGTCCAAATAAATATTTTATATGAAATATATTTGTTCCCTTGTGCGACCCCCCCCCCGATGAATTAGCCGTAAGTTCTAGAACTTACGTCGCTGCAATTAGTCGTTTGATTAGTCCATTTTATAGCTTTGCGCTAAAATTAAATCGAATTATAACAAATAATATTGTTTAAATCATCAGAAGAACAATCATAATACACACTTTGGAATCTTATTTGTGTTACTGTCTCGTATATTTATCCTCTGTACGTGAAAATAATGTCTTCCTGTGTATGCGACTTGACTGCTTTAGTTTTACTTATATCAGGTCATGGTGACTAGCTTCAGTCACCAGGATGCCTTTTTTCATCATACTTTAATAATTACATATTAGCTTACACTCTACCCGATTGACTAACCACACCTTTATAACCAAGCTATGTCAAGTCAACGTGCTGTCCAAGGTTGAAACAGAATTTTCAAGCCGCTCCCCCACCCTAACAACCAAGTGAACTCTAACGCCCGCGCCCCCAGCCGTCAAAGCCAGTACTAATACGAACTCTAGAACCAGGTACCTGCTGACACTACAGTTCTCTAGCCGGAACATCCTTTGTCGTAATGCTATTTTAACTGAAAAGGTTTCATGACATTTAGTGGATAGTCCCTTAGATATCTAGCCAGACAAGCTTAGGCCGGTTGAACCGCCGGCGCGGTGTGACTCAAAGAGGCGCGAGTCTTTATTATTCAGAACTCCCCGCCGGCGGATTAGGCCTAGCATCTATTAGTGGGGCACTGTATTTTATTGTTAAGCGGCTTGGTAAACTTAACAACCAGGAAGAGAAGACGCCATGTTAATATTTTGTGTTAAGAATAAGCATGTCACGCAGCCATAGTGAACGGGTAAGATTTTTGGTACCTGTTTTATTGCAGGACGCTTCGATAACAGAATGGTACCAAACAATGATCGGTCACTATGGTCTTTTTCTTACCCATCAAAGTCGCGGGATAATCAACCATTTTCGTAATGCCCGTAGATGTATTATCCTCCACGGAATTCTAACGAATGGCGAGTGCGTTCAAATATCACCAGAATCAACTCTCAACTTTTGTTTGTCATTTGAAAAGAATAGAATAATAGCATTATATTATTAAGAACTTCTGATCAAAAATTAACCTGTCTATATAGATCATAACCAACAAATAATCTATCTATATAGACCAAAACCAACAAGTAACCTGTTTATATAGATAAGAAACAAACAAATTATCTATCTATATAGATCAGAACCAACAAGTAACCTGTCTGTATAGGTAAGAACCAAACAAATAATCTAGCTATATAGATCAGAACCAACAAGTAACCTGTTTATATAGATAAGAAACAAACAAATTATATACAGACAGGTTACTTGTTGGTTCTGATCTATATAGATAGAGGTAAGAACCAAACAAATAATCTATCTATATAGATCAGAATCAACAAGTAATTTGTTTATATAGATCAGAACCAACAAGTAACCTGTCTATATAGATCAGAACCAACAAGTAACCTGTCTATATAGACCAAAATCAGAATATTAACATAGTGACGAGCACCACGTGTGCAGGTTGGGTGCTAAATATCGGAGCTGGTAAAATATTCACATATGTACGAGCACTGCGGGTGCAGGTTGGGTGCTAAATATCGGAGCTGGTAAAATATTCACATATTTACGAGCACTACGTGTGCAGGTTAGGTGCTAAATATCGGAAATGATAAATATTAACATAGTGACGAGCACCACATTTAAGGTCGGAAAAGCATCTTTAAACACCTAATGAATTCAAATATATTAACATAAATGTTTAAAGAAAAATATTTTCGAAGTAAATGCATTAATTCTAAAGCATATATCTTACAAAGTAAAGTATTTTCCTCCGAGAAAGTTAATATTGTCGTGTGTAATATATAAAGTTTGGCCTATGAAACGAAAGTAAAATAAACAACTAAAGTTCTATTGTACACGAAGTCCAACTTCAATAATACTTAAATAAGTTATAATAAGCAAACAATGCGACCACACTTCATATGTGTGTGTGTAAATTCTAAAATGACATTTCAGCGTTTCCATAAAAAGGAACGTGTCCTATTACTGTGATAATAACTTCCTGAAACGTTTATAATGTAGCGTGAATTTCGAATCAATCTGATCTATTCAATGATGACGTAAGCCCTTTGTCACGGTAAAATTGCAGAAACTCTTTGCGGCGAAAACTGAATCAGCGGTTATATGAGCGTTTATTTCTGATAACACGGATAGTTGAACAATGGTATGGCGATGAAGAATAAGTAGCTTCGTAATTTTCATTTAATGTAAAGAAATTTGCTTTAGGGACGGAAGTCGTCGAAGCGTTAAATTGTAGAGACAGGTAGACGGTCTCTTTGTTGGTAGACCAGTGTCTTTTCTGAGATCCATAGTTTGTGAGGAAAGATCTTAGACTGTCTTAGATTATGGAATGATTGATATATTATTAGTCTAGACTAGATTTGAAAGTTTGGGCTAGTTTCCCGCTTTTTATCACTTTTATTATCAGTGTCACAATAATCCTAGCCAGGACCGCCTTAAGGTATAGTGCCTCCCTAGGCAGATATTTTTTGCCGCCCCCGCCTCCACGTGATCGCTCCAGAAGTGAAGCCTTTGTATTATCACTTATCAGTCACATGATTGTTCAGCGCTCTTGATTGGTATCTCGATCTGGTGGGGCGGTTTGCAACGCCCCCACATTACAAAGTTAAATAAATACACAGTTCATCAAATTTCTGTTGCCGCTTTCGTTCGATATTTCTTAATTTTGCCGCCCTATGCAGCTGCCTACTCTGCCTATGCGTAAATGTGGCTCGGCACAAAGCCTATTATTTTCACGACTTTTTATATTTAATATTGGTACTATATAATTTACTTTATTTGTTATAATTCAATAAACATCGGAGTAAGAAACTTGAGCGTTATAAAAATTTTAATTTGTTTAGGACGAAGGAGTAAGTGTAGCAGACCTATTAACATTAGCGTTGCTTCGTGCCTAGCAGTCTAGAAGCAGGAAGATCGTTAATATGTAATAATTATTGCTATACTTCCACTGCCCGTATTACGTGTATATGTAGGCTGTATAGTTATTACAGCTAATGTGTACTTAACTATGGCTTTGGTGATGTGAGGCTCACATTCAACTCTATTGCATAGTTATTAGATGTAATGTGTACTTAACTATGGCTTTGGTGATGTGAGGCTCACATTCAACTCTATTGCATAGTTATTAGATGCAATGTGTACTTAACTAAGACTTTGGTGATGTGAGGCTGACATTCAACTCTATCTCCATCAGCCTAGTGGCTAGAGTGTCGTGTTGCGGATCGGAAGAGCCAAGATTCGAAGCGCGATGCCACTGAACACGCTCTACAATTTCAATTGTGGCTGTATTATAAATGGAGGGGGGGCAGTCACTCCACTTATTTGATTTCACAACTCGGACAAAGTCCTTTTGGCGGCAGGTGTTTCTGACCGTTTCCATTTCCAAAATAAAGGGCGATCCTTTTGGCGGCGGGTGCTTCTGGCCGTTTCCATTTCCTCTAGTCAACAGGTCAAAATTAAGGACGACTATACTTAGCTTTAGGGGTTTCTGGCAGTTTCACTCATGTGCACTTATGTTGGTTTTCAAATAAAAACACTAACACACACACACACTTAAATGAGTTCAGATGCTGAAGCCATCAGCTTAAGAACAACAGTGAACTACATTTTCAACGTTTTTCACCTTAAATTTTTGTCTAGTGTATTCAATACGAAACACCAAGCTCGTAGAGATGTATTCTATCTAGTTCAAAGATGGGCTTGCTGATGCATATGCTGAAAATAAATGAAGTTAGGTGTTGTTTTGTTTAACGAAATACTTCATAAAGAAATTCAGTGACATGTCATGCTGTTCTTATTTTTGTTTGCTCTGGTTTTGATGTATTTCTTGTGTTTGGGAATATTATAACGACATATTTAGATACATCGCAATTTTTTGTAAACTTTCAGTCACAATATTCACAGTCTATTAATAGGTAAAGATAATCTTCCAAATCTAATATAGTCACATTCACAGCCTATTAGTAGGTAGAGATAATATTCCAAATCTTAAATAGTCACATTCACAGCCTATTAGTAGGTAGATATAATATTCCAAATCTAATACAGTCACATTCATAGCCTATTAATAGATAGAGATAATCTTCAAAACCTTAAATAGTCACATTCATAGCCTATTAGTAGAAAGAGATAATCTTCAGAATTTGAAATAGTCACATTGACTGTCTATCAGTAAGTAGCAATTATCTTCAAAATCATAAATATACACATTGGCAATCTATAACTATAACTTTATGGAAATTATCACAACCACAATAAACGCATTTATAACGACCATGTCTTATAAACATTGATAAATAATCCAAATAGTTAAAAAATGTTTAATTTAAAAGTTTAATGTATTTTGTTTGCAAATTAAGAGAGCAGTTCGCCACATAAATCCGAAAAACCACTACTAGACAAAAGCACAAAAAACTTTCCAAAGTAAACGGGAACGATTTAGTCCTCAAATATAACAACACAAGTAAAATAAAAAGTCTACAAAGCTTAATGGTGAAATGTAAACAATAACAAAAACAATCTAAACATACACAAACAAACAAAAAATAAATACTCCAGAAACATCCAAAGAGTATTAAGCCAATGCTCAAAAGAACAACTACAAACAAACTATAAACACACAAAAGATAGTTAATTTATCAAGCTTAAGAAACGCACGAGAGAATATCCTCATCAAACGTTTGAACTTTGCTTTTTTCCCATCAGAGCACCAAACCTTGTATTGAAAACAACTACTGCACTCCGTCCGCCGCGGGTTAACAAACTCCGGATTTTAGCGTCGTAAGTCACTGGTTATTGAGATATATTCATGTTTCTTTAATTCTGTCAATGCAGAGACTTTATGTTTCTTTAATTCTGTCAATGCAAAGACTTCATATTTGTTACTTTAGAAAATTCTAAAATAATTTGAAAAGTTATTCAGTTGGCTTTGAAGGGAAACAAGTTAGTTCATGTTGAAATAACTCCTTATGTAAAATCTCGTTTTCAGTCTATAGTTAGGTCTGAGTTTGTTATTCGCATTGTTTTTAGGAAGTTTGATGTTCGTGTTTTTGTTTTTATCTTTTATTATTTTTACAACCCATTGTGTAGCTTTTCCCTAAGAAAACAACAACATATTTAATAACGAAAGCAGATAAAGGTAAGACAATTGTAACCATAGATGGAGTAAAATACAACACACATAGCATATGAAACAAACGATAAAGAAAAAAGTAACAACAAACTTCTGAAACAACTTGAATAATCCTCCCCTCAAATATCACAAACAAAACAAAATCTCCCAAATAACTTATTATACCATTCAAATAGACGGATTCTAGAACACCAAACAATTATGGCAGTTAAAAAATAGACAAAACCCTGATTATCATAAGACCTATTATCTCTACCTACGCGTCATTCAACTATAAACTACATAAGTGTCTTTTGGTTGTTGCAAGATTTGAT